AAATACATACATTCGGATGAGTTTAAGGTAATCCCATGTTTTAAAAAGCAAATCATCGAAGTTCCACTTGTGATGAGCCGAAATTGGAACACAATGAGGCACTTTGTAGATGATCTCCAGCTCTTCAATAGAAATCTGATCAATCTTGTTGAGAATGTAGATGCAAGGCGTGTAAATACGATTGCCTTCAATCACGTCAATCAAATCATCGGCGGTAGCATCGTACTTCAGCACAACATCAGCATTGGCAATTTTGTATTCAGCTAGAATGGTTTTTACAGTTTCCAAGTCTAGCTCTGATTGCGAGGTGAGAGTTTGAAGATTGATTCCACCCTTGTCTTTTCTTCGAAGAGTAATCTGAGGTGGATCTTTGTTTAGCCGAATACCAAAACCTTCCAGTTCTCTCTCAATGATTCGTTTGTGTTGCAAAGGCTTTGGGAGTTTATAACAAAGTATCATTTTTATTAAATGAACTTTTTAGATGAATGGCGCTTGTTTTATTAAATCTTACCTTTAAAACATCCAAGACAATGAAGATCAGGCTACATGTTCGAGCCACAGCAATAACTTGACGACCTCGACCTTTGCCGTCTTTAGCGCCTTCGATGATTCCGGGCAAGTCTAAAAGCTGGATTTTTGCTCCTTTGTATTTAATTACTCCAGGTACGGTGGTAAGGGTGGTAAACTCGTAGGCGGCAACTTCAGAGTACACGCCGGCTAAATTGGACAGAAGAGTTGACTTGCCGACGGAGGGAAATCCGACAAACCCGATTCGGGCATCGCCGGTTTTTGCCACGTCGAAACCTTCTCCCGTTGCGCCTCCGCCGCCTTTAGGAGTGATCAGTTCCCGCCTCAACTTAGCAAGACGGGCTTTTAATATGCCTAAGTGACCCATTGTGGCTTTATTCCTTTGAGTTCGAGCCATCTAAAATAAAATGTTTGACAAAAGTTTGAGTTCAAAATCAAATTCTAGTTACTTTAATGGATGCCATACCTCGGCCTCAATATCGGCAATCTTCTGGAGAGTACCCATTGTTTTATTATAACCGAATCACAAACTTGAAGAATAATCAGTGTTCAAAAATAAGTGAAATGAACAATCACTGTCACGGAAATTAAAATACAAAAAATGCAAAACAACAACTTTTTTCCAATTTTCACATGGGTCTTGTTCGTACATAACGTGTCTAGTAAAGGCATTGGCGCGGAATTCAATATTTTATTTATAAAATGTGTAATAAAAACATACAAATACGACAATCAATCAATTAGCACAGCAGTACTGATACCATCGTTTTAAAAGATAAAACACGCACTTGGCAAAACAGCAGCAAATGATGGCCAGTACAAAGAGCACAACCAAGATGAGCGTAATGGTGGCCTCTTCCTGCTGATTCGACTGGCGCAGGTTCTCTTCATGAAAATGCACCTCAGCGACATGACGATTCGGGTTCGTTTCATTTGGCGAGAAACTAAGTTTGATGCAATCCTCTTGATCTGGCGTGACCCGCCAGTGGTTGTCCCACACAGTCTGACAAAAGTCTTTTGAATCGTTGAAAATGGCCCTTATAGGCTGGCAGCGACTATTCGCCGGACACTGGTTCACTGTGGCGTTGATTCTCACATCAAACTTGATGGTAAAGTGCTTTCGCCAGTTTCGCACGCAGGTAAAGGAGTCGGCACAGGCAGTCCACCACCGTTTGCAATCACTTTCACACAGTGGCACCTGCATCAGACGCTCCTTGGGAAAAGTGCGGTCCGGCTTGAGGATCCAAGGTGTGATGTACGGGTCACAGCTGTAGTAGCACAGCTCACGGGCAAACTCTCGGCGGCACTTCTCCGAGACGGCTTTCTCACCGCAATGGTTCACATCAAAATCTAGATGGTTCAGCGGCTGGTTCGCACGGTTCGCTGTTTCCTGGCTACAGCATGAAAGGGAAGACCAGGGAGAGCACTGCAGCATAAAGGTAGAAGAAAATTAGCAAAACTAAGCATACTTATTAAGCAGCTCTGAAATTGTACCATATCTTGCAGTTGCTGTGAATGAACCACTGGCTGAGGCAAATGGTGGGGAGTGTTGAGGCACCGAGGCTCCAGTGGCTGCACTTCCACTTGACGAGTGAAGGTGCTCAGAGAGAAGCTGATGGAACCTGGAAGAAACAACAAGCACAGAACAAAGCAGATTTGGAGATGTACACTGGCCATGATTACAGTCTGTAGTAGACCAGAACAAAGAAGACTGCAAATGATGTGCTGGGAAATGGCTACCAGTGCTTTATTTGACTTAGTCAGTGCATGCTACGTGCTTGGAGAAATAGACAAACGAGTCAAGTTCAATCGTCCGCCACTCACGCCACACTGGGTGATAGCGGATGTTTTGTAAGAAAAACAAGTTTACTAAAATATAAAATAATACAATAAATTTTTTTAGGGAAGAAGGACTATGATACAGATCACTTTGATTGTATTGCCACACTTAGAACCCTTTTGGAGACCACTGTAGGGGGAGACGCACTTTGACGAGCTGATAGCACACAAGCACATCCTGTGGCATGAAACGAATGACATTGTCGTTTTTGTCACTAATATGATTGTTTGTAAACATTAGGCCACACTCAAAGTCTTTCTTGATGGTGTCCACCTCGTCCTTGTGGTGTCGCATTGAAGATATGGAAAGACCCGAACTGATGACTTTTCCATTGCGGAGCAGCTTAAACTGTGTGCCCGTCTTTTTGAGCACACCCTTTGCACAACGAGATCCGGCGACAGGAATCTTCTTGCGCTTTTCGTTGACGATAAACTCCTGAAGGACGACAGCCTCTCCGAGCACTTCTTCCTTCTCAACAAAGGGCATCTTTGCTTCGATTGACTCTTTGAGGTGGTCAACCAGGTGGTAGATTACGTTGAATCGTTTAATAGGCACATTAAGCTCTTTTGACAGCTTCAGAAGTGCTGGAGTGAAGACGCCCGTGTTGAAGGTGTAGATGATGCCGTTGGGAAAACATGAAGCTAAATCAATGTCATTCTCGGTGACATCGCCCAGGCCGTAGTGCACCAGGTTCAATTTGGCAGGGCAGAGCTGGTTGGGAAATGAGTCAAAGATGTCAAGCAGCACCTCCAGACTGCCGTTCACGTCGGCCTTCAGGACGACACTAGTCTTCATGTCATCGCCTTCATTGAGAACCAACTTTTTGCGCGCCTCTTTGGCACGTTTGCTTTTGTACCGAAGGCCAGCTTCTCGACGAGCATTCAACTCAGCTTTGTACACTTTGTTGTGCTCCTCGTTCTTCTGCTTGATCACCTCCATAGCTAGAGAGTCCTTCGTCTGCTTTTCATAAGCCTTTCCAATGCTGATCACCTCTTTGACCTGCTTCTCCGAGCTGAGCTGCCAAACATCATCTCCAGCTTGTGGCAAAGTTTCATCTCGCCAGCCAATCACTTGAACTGGAAATCCTGGCGTTGCTTCATTCACCACCTCACCATATTCGTTGAACATTGAACGAACTTTTGCCCAGCTAATGTGCCCATGATTTGAACTGGTGCTCACCAAAAGATCGCCCCTTTTCAGTGTTCCTTGATGGACCAGCAGCGTGGCAAGTCGTCCTCGATGCGGATGAATACTGGCCTCAATGACAGAGCACTCAACATTGCCGTCTATGTACGATTTAAGCTCGAGTGTCTCTGATAAAGCAACAATAGCTTCCTTCAACTCTTGGATTCCTTCCGATTTTAAGGCACTCATCCGAATAGACTGGATATCGCCACCATCTTCCTCTAGAATGATTCCTTGAGATTTCAGCCCGTGCTTTAGAAATGATATTCTCTCCGGGTCATTGTTAATTTTGTCGATCTTGTTGATGGCGACAATTATGGGAGCGTTTGCTTTTCGGGCAAATGAAATCGACTCAATAGTCTGCTCCATAACGCCGTCATCCGCAGCAACAACGAGAACGACAATGTCAGTAATCAGAGCACCTCGTTCTCGCATTGAACTGAAGGCCTTGTGGCCTGGTGTATCGAGAAAAACGACTAGATCTTCAATTCGACTTTGTTTCAAGGATTTTTCATTCAGCGATACAACAAATGCGCCAATGTGCTGGGTTATACCTGAAAGAAGAATACCGAACTGATGAAAAATAAAACTCGTTAAATTGAAGTCAATTACCTCCATGCTCTTGCTTGACAATTTCCGACTTTCTGATAGCATCGAGCAGTGTTGTTTTTCCGTGATCTACATGGCCCATTATGGTAACCACTGGTGGGCGAACTCGCTGTGTTTGACATTTTTTCACCGAAGACAAGTCGGAAATTTTCTCGATGATTAAGTCTGGGGTAATCTTTTTCTCAGACTGAAGACTACTTTGGTTCACGTTTACTTTGACTGCCAGAAAACTAACAGGTGAGTAGGTGAACGGCCTTTTCTGTCGTAAACAGTGCTTCGCATAAGAAATGTGAATGTTGCCACACTCGCCGGTTCCTGCCGACAACAACCTAAACAGGGTCGTTCTTGCTTTTGACAAATGAATGAACCGCATTTTGACCAGATCTGCATCACTGGCGAAATAACAATTTGACTAGTTACATGAATACTTCAGAAACAGTTTAGAAAAACATTTAAAATTGTTTTCGACATTTTCAAGTTGATCAAACTTGCTGCAAGTTCAAAACAGTGTTTACACGTGAGAGCTATTCATAAAATGCGTTCATGTAGAAAAACATCAAATGATTTTTTATTTTTAATCATAAAAATGGTACAAGACAACAGAAAATATACTGGTATCTTTTAAGAATAAAGGCGGAAAACATGAAAAATGAATAACGTAATAATTACAAAAAGGCAAATGGAATCTTCAAAACAAAATTACTGATGATTAAGCTGCTAGCTCTTTTTACCAGTAGTCATTGATTCAGGTGAGTAAACTTTCATCTGGTCGATGTGAATCTTTTTATCAGTAGAGATGATTAAATCTGTTGTAGTGGTAGGCTTAAAACGGTATGTTTGTGGGGGATTATCACCACTGATCACCTCGATGATTCCCGAACGATAGCAATTCACGCGACCATGCTCCAAAGTGAAGTTTTTGGGCAGTTGAATGAAATTAAATTCCGAAACATGTGTTGACAATATTCCATTTTTGTCATTATCTTCAAAATTGGATTCACTTTTGTCGATTGCTTTAAGAAAGCGTTCAATATCAGTTTTTGTATCACCTGTGCCACCAGAAAAGTGTTCTCTCACTTTGCCATGTCCTCTTGAGCCGGCTTGTTTTGCTCGAAGATTTCCAAAAGAATTTTTCCCAATGTGTGGCAAAATATTTAGTTGTGTTGTTTCTTGCTGAATGCTTGCATTCTTTTCAGCAGCCACCCTACTGCGCTCGACAATTGTAGAAGCATCAATTAAATTTTCCTCGCTTCGAATGGAAGCCCGAGAAAGGTTTAGTCTTGCCACAGAGGCGCCCTGAGATCCGTCGAGATTTGGAAGGCAAAATTGATGAAGTTTATTATCCGCCCCTCGCGTCCTCATGCCCAGTTGGGGCTGCTTGAGGATGTCAACAAGAGATTGATACCTCGGAGCTGCTGAGTTTTTATCACTTGTAGAAGGGGGGCCATTTGATTTAGACATCTTCAGGCGGTGAAAAGAAGAAAGGTTGAAAAATCACAGACCTATTTTAGACGATTTTTGAAAATTGTACACAAATAGAATAAGGTTTTCGATTCTGAATGAGCATTTGAGTCAAAATCAAAATCCCGATTTTATCAAAACAAAACAGCTGAAAGAAAGCGTGCCTGAAAATGATATAGCGCCATCAGACGGAATATTTAGAAACAAAACTAACAAAAGTTTTTTTGAAATAATTTTTTATTTTAGTTTTTCTGTTTCGATGATTTAAAAACTTTTCTCAAGCTAATGATTATCACGTTTTGCAAAAAAAATTAAAATAAAACAAAACGCTATTTAATTTTATATATTGAGAAACTATTATTCAAATTAATTGATAAAATCTTAAACTGACAAAACTTGTTCATTTTTTT